GAGGATGGACCGCCTTCGCACGCAGCTGCTCGCCTAGGACGAGAGAAGTAAGAGGAGAGGACCTCAGCCCTCGCTCCCCCAAGCCACTGAAGTGAGAAGAACCACCACTCACAGGCCAGTGAGCACACATGGAGAGGGGTGCACCATCCCTGAGCCACTCACACATGCCACCCAAGGGGCTCTCTCGCTGCCTTACATTTTCAAAGAGAGGCAGGAGCATTTTGGGCAGCTGCAGAGCAATGGGGCCAGCCGTCTGCCTGTCTACAGCGCAGAGCACGTTGCTGAGGACAGTCAGGGCTGCCTTCGTGACGTCGCAGTCATCATCCTGCAGTTGCTGCATAACGGCTGGCAGCAGGCCTTGCAGAGACTTAGCCTTTGCCTATGTGAAAAACGCTTTTTGGTGACACAGTCGAGGAGGACAGCACCAGCAAAACCACTCCGCTTGCAGAGGGGCAGAGAGAGATCTCTCCATGCGCAGCACAGCCCAATGCCCTGCCTTACGCGTTCAGTGGCTGAGGAGCTGCTGAACAGGGCAGGGAGGGCAGTGGGCACACCACTCCCGATTCCTGGCACAGCCCAAGCACGCCGCTGCGCACACCACCGCCTGCTACCCAGGCCCGGGCAGATGCTCTCGCTGAGCCTGGCTGCCCATACTCACCTGCTCAGGATTCTCAGACAGCGTGGCGAGGCTTGTGACCGCTACCTTGTGCGGCACCGAACTCCTGCTACGCAGCAGTGTGAAGTCTTGATCCTGCTACACCTAGACTCCTCTCTGAGAAGGAGTTTAGAATGCAAGGGGGCCCCCTTTCTGAACCTTATGACTCAAGGAGAGTGTCTCCCTGACAATCTGACCCTGTCCTCTATGCAGTAAATACTCAAGTGTACCTTGCTATTGAATCTTGTTAAACCACTGCCACATTTACTGACATTTTTTTTTTACAAAATTTACATCAATAGACATATTTCTGCTGCTTTTACAAGTGAAGGGTGTCACTCCATATTCAACAACGACTTTACCACATTCACCTGGATGAGCAGAGGAGGACAGAGGAAAGGGAAAAGGAAAACCCTTGCAGCCACCGTGCCACAAGATTAGTGTGGATATGGCATACTGAAGAACATACACTCCTGACATAAATCCTCATGTGGTCAGGGAGGGAGATAAGATGTCAGCTCTAATGATAACCCAGCTCAATAAAATAAACTTTCAAGCAATTATTTAACAAATAAAACTACTGGCATAATCTGACAGCATAATGACGGTTGGAGCAGGCATGCATCGCGGTGAAGGAAAATCCCACCAGTACCGTTTCCTTACATAAGCGGATACCTCATACAGCACTGGTGATTTGTACCAAAGAAAAGCACTCTGATCCCTGGCCTCCGAGGTTACCGTAAAGCTCCCATTAAGATCAGATGGGTGTGCACTCTGGCTCTCTCCAGCCCTCTTGTTAAAGCTTCCATTAGGTAATGAAGGCTTTTACCTCCCAGGGCAATGATGAGGAAGAAGCCACAGAGTGCATAGACCCTTTGTTTTCCCAGCAGAGCTGGCACAGTGAACCATGGTGATCCAGTCAGGCTCTGCCCCATGGTCATATTGGTCACATCGCAGCTGCCAAACAGAGTCATAGGGCTTGAGCCTCTGCCTGCAGGTTGTCATCTTTCGAAACACAAACCCACAGGGGTGTAGTGTGCTGCACATGTCCCTGTCTCATGTGGCACAAGCCTGTGGAGCACCTGCTGTGTAGCAGCAGAAGGAATCCTGGATAGATATTCTGGGACATTAAAATCCACTTGCCCTCCGTCCACAAATGTGTTTTCTTTATGCTGGTATGACTCTGTGCTTATGCCCAGAGATAATACATCTGTTTTATCCCACTTCCTATAAAAGCTCATGTCTTCTTTTGGTGTGTATGTGTGTCCCACTCATATACCTGTGTTCATTTTGTGATCATAGAGTAGAATCAGATCAGGTCTCCAGCAAATTTAAATCTGTGTATTAACAAGCAAAGTTTGTTTAGCACTGAAAGAGACTTTACTCTGATTATCTCTGGCCTTGGACAGCTCCCAAAGGAGTCGCAGGCAGCTCTGAGGTGGAAACTTTCATCCTAAGCCACTACCAAATACCTGTAGCATCAACTGCAGGTTAGAGGTGGCAACCCTTCTCTATGAAGCGCTGGCAACCAGCTCAGCCTAGACCCCATAGGTGATGCACCCCATAGAAAAAGAACGGACACTGAATAAACTTGCTGTCGCACACCTAATCTGATATAATCTAAATTGAATGACTATAACATTAACTCTAAAAAACCCTCCATGCTCCGTGCTTTTCTACTTCTACTTGAATTCCTAACTTATAGCACAAGAATCTGATTACTGTAAACAATTTTCTCAACAGCATCAAAGGAATTTTCATCAGCGTGCCTGAGAAATCTTGTATCAATAAAATATTCTACACCTCTTGTCAAGGACCAGGTTGAGTGACCGCGGCAAAACAGAATCTAGGACCAGAAACACACTCTCCCAGCAAAAGTGGTACCAGTCATCACCGACCCAACTGTAAGGGCACTGGCACCAAAAAAAAAAAAAAAAAAAAAGAAAGGAAAGGAAAAACCCATGCCTAAATGCTGATTTATGCAGTTCCCACCCCACCTTGCTTACCTAGATTACCAGACCCCTGGCTGATTGGTGATGCGGTGATAACAGCATTATATATTATAGCCTTACTTCTGTACAAAGGTATGGAATCATCACTGTGGTGACAGACAGAGGTGAGTGTCATAGTTTGCAATATTTGGTAGTAGCCCCTCTGCCTGGAGAAGACACCAGGGCTCAGAAATAAAACCCTGCTATTGCAGGGAATTTGAAAAACGTCAAAAGGAATCCAAATAAATGTATGCAAATATAGATGCACATACATGTGTGTGCATAACTGTATACCTCGTCCACATCAGCCGCCTCCTGGAACCAAGGGCTGCTTAGCCCTCCATGTTGACATGCGTACCTGTATGCGCACACATACATGAAGGTCTGACAGAGGGACGCACCCAGTTTGTTCTCTGTCCTTCCATTTGCTTACCGTGCTTTTCTGAGCCACCAGTGCACGGACACCTGCAAGAATACAGACAGATTTTATTAAAACCTCATCTTAGGTTTAAGCAATCTTTTAAAAGCCCTGCAGAACTTGTATACGTTTCAGTCCCCTGCCAGCCCACAGGCAGAGAGCAGGCAGGCAGATCCGCAGCAGGTCTGCTCTGAATGCAGACGTCTGCAAGCTGTAGCACAGCAGCTAGGCCTTCACTCCATTTCTCTGGATTTGCAGCATCCACGTGTCCAGTGGAGCTGCTCATCTCCAAGAGGCTTACGTAAGGTTCCATCTCCTGCTTCATGATACAATCCACCCTTCCCTCTACAATCCTTAAACGTTACCCATCTGCGTCCCAGCCACACTGCTGGGTGCGCGCCACCAGACTAGGCAATCCAGGTACCGTCAGACCCTCTCTTCTCCAGGGCACCGATCCAGCAGCTTGAAAGGCAGGAGCCTTTCCCTCCTGCAGCCACTGTTAGGCCTTGGATACTTTTGTCCTGTGCAAGGCAGGAATGGGAGGCTGCATGCGGAGTGGCTTCATTGAGGGAGGGCCCCCAGCAGCCCCTGCAGGACTTGGCACAGTGCAGAGGTGTTGCTGGCTCCTCCTGGCTCTGGTCTCCTGCCACCCACACAAGCACCACCAGCAGCACAATGGGAGGGCTCCTCTGAAGTGGAGGTGGTGGCTCAGAACAGTGAAGCTCCCACCCAAGCCTCCAGACCAGTGGGTTTGCAGGGCAAAGATAGGCTGCTCTTCCTGGTGGGCATGGCAAAGCTCTCTGCAGTGAGCAACCCACACCTGAAACCTCATGGTCACTTACTGGCTGTCCTCATGACAAGCTGCTAATCTACCAGCAGCATGAATACACACCTCAGTCTGGAGGAAGAAAAGGCAACATTAATCAGGCAGAGGAGCTGCAGAGAGGCTGTAAGCCCTGTAAGACACCACCAGCAGACCAGCAGCCATCAGCCCACCACTAGCAGGGCACCACCCCCAGCCCCAGCACGGTGATTCAACATGAGTGGTTGAGGTTTAACAGGCAAAGTGCCGGGTCGTGCACTTGGGCCACAACAACCCCATGCAACACTCCATGCTTGGGTAAGAGTGGCTGGAAAACTGTTCAGTGGGAAAGGACCTCAGGGTGCCGATTGACAGAGCTGAACATGAGCCAGCCTGTGCCCAGGCAACGAAGGCCAACAGCATCCTGGCCTGTATCAGCACAAGTGTGGCCAGCCGGACCAGGGCAGAGCCCTGTACTGTGCACTGTTGAGGCTGTAGCTCGGATACTGCATTCAGTTCTGGGCCCCTCACTACAAGAAAGATATTGAGGTGCTGGACTGGGTCCAGAGAAGGGCAACGGAGCTGGTGAAGGGCCTGGGACACAGGTGTGATGGGGAACGGCTGAGGGACCTAGGGCATTTAGTCTGAAGAAGGCTCAGGGGGACCTTACTGCTCTCCACCACTACCTGACAGGAGAATGGAGCCAGGGGAAACAGCATCAAGCTACTCCAGAGGAGGTTTAGACTGGAGATTAGGAACAACTTCTTCACCAAAAGGGCAGTCAGGCATTGGAACAGGCTGCCCAGGGAAGGAGTGGAATCACCACCACTGGAAGCATTCAAAGTGTAATCGAGGCCCTTAGTGACATGGTTTAGTGGTGGTGCTGGCAGTGCTGGGGGAACGCTTAGATCTGACGGTCTAAAAAGGTCTTTTCCAACTTGGCTGATTCCGTGATTCTGGGGTGGGCCAGCAGCCAGGCCTTGTGCCCTCTGTCCGTGTGTCCATCGCCCAAACACTTTGCAGAGGCCCTGCCAGCCTGCCCCAATGGCCGCTCACACTGCGCGGCCGCCTGCCTAGTCGGGGCGGGGCGGGGTAGGGTGGCACTGCCGGGGCGGGGCGGCGCGGAGCGGAGCGGCCGCCCGGGGTCGCTGCGGTGGCAGCGGTGACGGGTTGGGTTGGTTCAGCGTCGTGGCCATGGCGGTGTTCGTGACGCGGCGGATCCCGGCCGAGGGGCTGCGCGTACTGTCTCAGGCTGGCGGGTGAGCGCGGGACTGGGTCCAAGTGCGGGTGGGTCGTTTCCGCCCTCGGCCCCGTTCCGGGGCCTTGGTGACGGGCCGCTCTCTCGCAGGTGCCGCGTCCAGCAGTGGGACTCGGAGGAGCCGGTGCCGCGGACCGAGCTGCTGGCGGGAGTGGCGGGGAAGCACGGGGTGCTCTGCCTGCTGTCCGACCGCATCGACCGCGAGGTGCTGGAGGCAGCTGGTGGGTGCGGCCTGCGGGACTGGACTGCCCCTCTCCCGTTCCTTTCCCCGTTCCCTTATCAGCGTTCGCTCGCCCTTCCGGGGCGATGCTGGGCAGCAGCGTGCTGTGGTGTCTTGTAGGTCCTGGCCTGAAAGTCATCAGCACCATGTCCGTGGGGTTTGACCACCTCGCCCTGGAGGAAATCAAGAAGCGGTAACCTTTCCCTGTGCTGTACCTCACCCTGCCCTGTGAGGGATGGGGTCCAGCCGGGGGAGGTGGTTGGGAAGCAGGGTGAAGCTCAGAGCTCATCCCGCTGTTCACACAGCAGATTACACAGTGGATTGCTTGACCCAGGCGTGGTGGGTGGCTTTGACAGAGCATGGGGCTGGATAGGTGGATAGGGTTTGTGACCTGCACCTCCCTCTTGGTAGGGTATGGCTAGGGTCACCTCCAACCCAGCTGGGGTTGGAGGAGCCTCTCGATGTCAGGGTATGGTTGGGATCTCCCCCCAACTGCTGTTGAGATGACTCCTTGGAGGACGGGCTGAGAAGCCAAAAGGGATGTCCTCTTGCATGTGGTACTGCAGATACATAGAAGAGGGAACTTCAGCAACTTGCCCAGAACATCAGCGACTTGCCCAGAAATTTTGAGGTAGAACCCCAAGGCTGGCAGCATTGCCCCAGAGACCTTTGCTTGCCTTGCAGTGGGATCCGTGTGGGGTATACCCCTGATGTCCTGACCGATGCCACCGCAGAGCTGTCTGTAGCTTTACTTCTGTCTGCATGCCGCCGGCTGCCAGAGGCAGTGGAGCAGGTGAAGAAGTGAGTATCACCATCAGCCAGCTGGGGCAAGAGCTGGCACCAACCTCCTTGCAGGCCAAGGTGGGAGTCCCCTGCAGTTCCATGGCTTTTCATAGACATGCTGCTCAGGGGCTGTAAGAGGGGCAGAGCTCCCCTCTGTATGCTAGGTAGAGGGCTTGTGGGAAAGGGCACCCAAAGCCACTGCAGACCCCTCTAGGAGAGCACACACGGAAGGTCTGTCCAGAGCTCCCTGAATGGCAGTTGCTCCAGGGCTGGGGATAGCAGTGCCTAATTTAAATCAGTCCCAAGGCAGCTGCTTCTGCAGCATACCCAAGGAGACCTGCAGGAGACCACCAAGGTCCCTTGAAGCAGGAACCTCAGAAGCTGGCTGTAAGATCACCTGGCTGTGTCAGAGGGACTGGCCACCCCCAGCATTGTAACTGTATGTACTTGCCCAAAGGCTGGACTGGGCTATGAGCAGGCTCTCTGCTGCTGCCATCTGACATCTGTTTCTACCTCACTTTCTCTACTAGTGGTGGCTGGACAACATGGAAGCCCTTGTGGATGTGTGGTTATGGTCTGTCTGATAGTACGGTGGGCATCATAGGTCTGGGGAGAATAGGTAAGTGCAGGTCACGCACAAGATTTGTGTGTCTCCAGTGACAGCAAGGTGGTTCTGGAGGTGTTCAGCCAAGGTGGTGTCCCTGTTGCTCACCTCTTTAAAGTCCATGACAGCAACAAGGAGAGCTGTCAAGATCTCTGAGCAGTGATCTTGGCTCATCAGGCCTAAACCTTGAAAGTTTAAAGCGTTCAAATGCATCCAGCAAACTGGATGTCATCCTCTTGATACTCAGGTAAACAAAAGCCCTGACAAAGTCCAAGGTGACATGTTTGTCATCCATTCAGTTGTGGACTTTGTCAGATGGCTATTTCTTTCCTCACTTTCCAGTTTGCTCCCTAGAGTATCTTCAGGTTTAACATCCCATTGCTCCAGTTCCACAGTTTTGCTATGGGAGTTCAGTCCTGCTCACTTCAGAAGCAGCAGAAGACCTCCACCCCGTGCTCGCCATGCTCCAGGCTGGGAAGCAGCCTGGCAGGAGGAATCCCACCACAATGACCCTTTAGCAAGCAGTGTGCTTTCTACTCTTAAGCGTGAGCTCACTGAAGGATGGATTGCCTGGAGAGTACTGACAGACCCTCGCAGCCCAGCACGGGTCTCTGTGCAGCATGCATCGTGCAGGCACAGCGGCTGAACAGTCTTCTCTTTTCCTTCTAGGACAGGCAGTTGCCCGCCGCCTAAAGCCATTTGGGGTCAAGAAGTTTTTGTACACTGGCAGTGGCCCAAAACCAGAGAGTGATGTGGAGTTTGAAGCTGAGTTCGGTAAGCAAGGCTTCAGGAGCAGGGGCAGCATCCATTTCATGGCAGCACAGAGAACTATTGGGGCTCACTGGGGAGTTGTCGCTCCCTGGGAGTGGTCCAGCAGAGAAGGGAGGTTCCAGGTGGCTTCCTCAGTGTAGCTGACATGAACTACAGTGGGGGCAGCAAAGGAAGGAATGGGAATCCCAAAGGCTTCTCATGCAGTGTTAGTGGATGGCAGGGAGAGAGACCTGCCTTCTTTGAGTCAGGTGATTCCAGCCAGTAAGCTGCACATACCTAGGCTCCAACTGACAGCCAGCCATTGTTGTGGGCTGTGGTGGTTTCAGCTGCTTTTGCCTTTCAGCTTTCTCCTGTGTCCATCCATTTATGATTTTCAGTTAGTTTCATTTGTGCAAGGAAGTGGAATGTAGCAGGGAAGGGAAAGTGGCAGCTGTGCCTTTGAGGAGGGGATGGATCTTTGGCAGGACTTCTCCTGCCCCTTGCACTTTCCTCTCACCTCCAGGAGTGAAAGTGACCCTGCCTGTGGCAGGGGGATGGAACTAAATGGTCTTTTAAGGTCCCTTCTAACCCAAACCATTCTTTCATGATTCTACAATGATTCTATGAAGTCATCTGTAAGTAACACATAGAGAGATTTAATGCTGGCATAAGCTGGTGCTGCCATATTTTGCTGCCTAAATGTGAAGTATGTACCACGGCCTCCTTTAGGCCAGATGGCTGAAGCATTGCTAGATTCCCCTTTGGCTTGGTTTTAATTCAAAAGTGAAATGAAACATCGCAGTAGTTTCTGTAGGGATGTGTATGATTTTTGTTGGGTGTTTGATGGTCCTTGTGTCTCCCCATTTGTTGAGAGGGGTCTCTCCAGAGCAGCACTCACTTGCAGATGAACTTTTTGGATAAAGAAGGTTGTTGAGGTCTGTTGGTGAGATTCCCCAGGCCAAACTGTGACCTGTTTTTCTCCACTCAGTCCCACTCACAAGGCTGGCCGAAGAATCAGACTTCGTTGTGGTGACATGTGCTTTGACTCCAGCCACCCAAGGAATGTGCAACAAGGACTTCTTCACCAGAATGAAGTCAACACAAGCAGGTAATCACAACCCAGTCTCCTGCAAAGGGCTGGGGCGTTGGGGGTTGACAGTCACTCCTGACAATTACAGCTGCATGGAGAATCTGGTAGGATGAGATGTGCTTCCACTGCAGGTCCAGACAGTCTGTACAACCTTCATGGCCCAAGGTGTCTTGGGACCAAGGCAAAGGCAGCATAAGTTATTCCATCACACAGCTGCCCCAGAGTTGTCCTGTGCTTGGGCACTCAGCTCCTCTCCCACTGCTGGGCAGCCTGGACCAGAAGAAATAGTAGCCCATTGTGCTGCGAGGTTCAGGCAGATCCAGAGAGAGTCTGAAATCTTCTCAGGCAGACGGGATCCAGGTGCCTCTACTGAGGCTGTCCCACATGGGCTGTGTCCTGGCTATGTGCCCCTCAGAGCCCATGGGACCTCTCAGCAGCATGGGGTCTCTGTTTTTGCCAGGGGATCTGTGGTGAACCAGGAGGATCTGTACAACGCACTGGCCCATGGCCAGATCGCAGCAGCAGGCCTGGACGTCACAACACCGGAGCCACTGCCCACTGATCACCCCTTGCTCTCCCTCAAGAACTGTGGTGAGTGGCTGGGCCCCCAGTCTGCTCTGACAGCCTGCACTTTGAGTGCCTCGTGTGCCCGTGGCTGGGGACCTGCTAGCTGGAGTGACAGGGATTCCCTGCCCCTGTTAGCCTGCCAGTGTGACCAAGCACTGAAACGTGAAAGGACAGGAAGGTCAAGTGTATTTAAGCAAACTGTAGGTAGGCACTGCACAATGCAGAGAGCTGGTAGGGTGGAAGACCTCATCAACATGATGTAAAACAAACGTGGGAGGTATTTTGATTCTCCAGAAAGCGGCTGAGGTCGGCTCATTTTTTAACACCTTCCTGATGGATCTCCATTTGATCGTTAAAGGCATGGGGAGAAATCCATGGAAGAGTCTTGATACCAGTGGGTGCCTGAATGAGAAACTGAATCCCTGCTCATGCCCTGCTAAGCTGTGGTATAGATGTTCTGCTAGAACATAGGTAGATACAGAATAGATACTGAATAGATAGAGAAGATATATATATAATAATTACATATATAAAAATGTATAGTAGTATATATCATTATATACCTAGAGTGTATGATGTATATAATATATAGATAATACATGTTTGTATTCTAGCATATATTCTGTTAGAAACATTTCCCATGTGGCTAAAATTCTGGGTGCTGAGTCTGCCTAGAAGAATTTTGGCCTTGGGAGTGCTGCAGCCACTGTAGAGCTCTCCAGCTATCCCATGCACTGTGAGCCTGGGCTGCCAGGCGCAGGTTCAGCCTACGTGCTCAAAAGCACAGTTCACTTAAGTGCTGCAGTGCTGGCCTTGTCCTGACATCCACATTCGCCATCAGATGTCAGCAAATTATACAGCCCCTAGCTGAAGAGGCCAGCAGGTGCTCATGCTATGGGATGAGCAGAGATTTCTTTGCAGATCTAGCTGTATCCCCTGGACAAACTAGGGCAACTTTGACTGGTAAAGTGGAGCCCAGTGAGTTCAGGCAGCCTGTTTTCTGTATGGTGACAAGCGGCAGGCCAGTAGGAAGATGTTGGTCTCAGGACTAGTGCATGTATTCTTCAGAGGAGATTGGGTTGGATGAAGCAGGTTGGGTAGGAAGGTGCTTGCTCAGCTGCTCTTGTGCTTCAGTATTGTCAGGCTGCTGGACTGGAAGTGGGAGTGCCTGCCATTAGAGGCAGTAGCTGATCACTGTTAGTTTCACTAATGCTTTCCTGAAAGCTTGCTGAGAACTGCTATGTGGGGCACAATGATGTTTTAGTGCAAGACATCAGCAGCCCTCAGAGTTTACCTGGGATCGTCATTGTAGCAGACTTAAGGGACTGTGCAGGGTGGCATCTTCCATGGCCTCACTGCACACCAGCGCAGCTTCATCCTCAGAGGCACCACGGGCTCACAGGCAGCCTGGGATGAGTTAGGGACAGCTCCTGTTGTAGTCACTGCCTCCCCTCATGTGGCCTTCAGTGAGTAACTTGGCCCAGTCCTTGTAAAATGGGGCGAGGAGCTTTGCTGCTCCAGACAGGGAATGTGTAGGCCAGGCTAGGTACTCAGTGGGACTGACTCAGACACAAGCCAGTAAAGCTCACTTGTATCCCTTGAGGCAGAAAATACATAAAACAGAAACACAACACAGAGAAGACACAGCTTTCTAGTTGGAAAGTGAATGTATGCAGTTGTCTGCAGCCCCGTTGCTGGTGCAGTAGCAGGGTGCCTGTTCCTACCTGAATGCTCAGCTTTGCTGAGGTGACCAGCCTTCCTGAGAGCTGATGGCACGAGCTGGGCCAGAGTAGCCTCCTCTCACGTTGTTGAATGCCATGGTGGTGTTCGTGACACGGCGGATCCCGGCCAAGGGGCTGCGTGTACTGTCTCAGGCTGGCGGGTGAGCGTGGGTCTGGGTTCAAGTGCGGGTGGGTCGGTTCCGCCCTCGGCCTCGTAAAATAAAAAGGAGCAACCAATCTTTGTTGTGTTTGAAGGATCCAAGGAGAATGTCCAGGATTGGTGGCACCAAAGACTGAGTTATTTGGCAGCTTGGCCAGGTCACCATTTGATTACCTAACTTGGGAAAAGAACTAACTTTAAAGTTTGATACGCGGATTGACTCCACAACCCGTTAAAGTTGTAAAGTAGGTATGCTTTTTATTCAGCGCTAAGATGCACGGGGATAATTCCTCAAAGTCATGCATACCTCAGTGTTGTTTCCCTCTACATTTATTCTCTAAAGTTATATATATGCATGAGGTTGCACAATACACCTATACATATTCATGTCCTATCCCACTTCATATTATAATAAGCTAGAAGGTCCTTTGCACCTGTGCAGTGCTCCCTCTGGTCATGGGCAGTGGTTTCATGATGAAGTAAATGAGTCTTCCTCCTGTGGGTAGGGGTCTTCAAGATGAAGTAAATGAGTCTTCCTCTTCTTGAACTTTTCACCTTTTAGTCTTCACTCAAGTTGTCCTAAAGTGAACTGCCTTCATTATAATACTAAAAATCCCATCCACAGCTCAGAAAGACCCCAGCCTGTGTGAAGACCCTTCCACAGAGCATGCATAGTGATTAGAATCATAGGATCACAGAATCATAGAATGGTTTGGTTTGGAAAGGTCTTTAAGATCATTCCCCCCCCATGGGTAGAGACATCTCATACTCGAACATGATGTTCAAGGCCCTGTCCAACCTGGCCTTGAACACCCCCAGGGATGGAGCACTCACCACTTCTCTGGGCAGTCTGTTCCAGTGCCTCATCCCCTCACAGTAAAGAACTTCCTCCTTATATCTAACCTGAATTTCCCCTGTTTAAGTCTAAACCCATTACCCCTTGTCCTGTCACTACAGTCCCTAATGAAGAGTCCCTCTCCAGCATCCTTATAGGCCCCCTTCAGATACTGGAAGGCTGCTATGAGGTCTCCATGCAGCCTTCTCCAGGCTGAACAGCCCCAACTTTCTCAGCCTGTCTTCATATGGGAGGCGGTCCAGTCTCCTGATCATCCTCGTGGACTCCTCTGGACTTGTTTCAACAGTTCCATGTCCTTTTTATATTGAGGACACCAGAACTGTACACAATACTCCAAGTGAGGTCTCATGAGAGCAGAGTAGAGGGGCAGGATCACCTCCTTCGACCTGCTGGTCACACTCCTTTTGATGAAGCCCAGGATACAGTTGCCTTTCTGGGCTGTGAGAGCACAGTGCCGGGAATGAGACATCAAATATTACAGTTTTATGTAGATTACAACCGATCGCTGTCACTGGGACTGTACTTCCTGTACCTTTTGCGTATAAATGTAATGAGAAGGCTGCATTGGTGTGTTTGACTTGTGGAACAGTCCACTGAGCACCCAGCCTGAATAAATAGTATCTCTAGTGAGTGGGTCAAATTGGTTTACATCACACCAGGCGCAAATGGACTTTTCAGGCAACAGATGCACAGAGAACCTATAAACTGTGTCCTTAGCTGTGTGGCTTGAGATTCCAAAATCTGCTATAACTGTTCAGAACTGCTTTCCTTGAGTGCCTTGGCTTATCACCACTCCTGAGCCAGTAGCTTCACTCACAGGCACAAAGTGTCCTCAGAACCTGCCCAGTAAATGCACTCTGTCTCAGAAAATCACAGCTCAGTGGCAAAAGCTTGTGACAACATGATCTGGGCAAGGTTAAGGGAATGTGTGTTTCCCTGCATGCATCTGGAAGTCAGCTCCAGTGGGATGAAGCCAGCCTTTCATGCCAGACCTGAGGGTATTTTGCTCACAGACTCAGTCCTGCTCCTGTAGATCACATCACTGTGCGCAGCTTGGTGACAAAATCCTTTTGCACTACACGAGCCAGCAGCAGCCTGGTTCTACAAGCCTCTTCACTTTACAGGTGACAGCCCACAGGGCAAGAAGCTTATGGCTGCCTTTTGGAAAGGTGCTAGCTCCTCAGTCCTGAAGAGGCTGTCTGCGCCCTACATCTTACTGGTGTCCTATGTGACAGGGTGCAGCTCAGAGCCACAGAGTTTCTGAAGCTGGAGAAACCTCCATACACCACCTTGTCCAGCTTCTGCCCAAAGCAGGGTCACCTGGAGCCATTGCCATGTCCAGCTGGGATTAGGTATCTCTGCAGATGGAGGCTCCACAATCTCTTTGGACAACTGGTTCCAGTGTTCAGCCACCCTCAAAGTGAAAAAGTGTTTTTCTTCCATTTTTGGTGGAATTTCCTGTGTCTCAGTGTATGCCCATCACCTTGCCACTGGACACTGTTGAGAAGAGCCTGTCTTCTGCATCTCTGTTCCCCCACCAGGTATTCATACACAGTGATAGGACCTCCTGAGCCTTCTTTTTCCTCAGCTCCTGCACTGGTCAAAACCATGTTGTCAGGCCAGGCACAGATGGGATTGCACTTGAGCCTGCTGCTGACACCCATAGCTTCCTCACCCATATTGCCCCATCTCAAGTGCTGCTCAGAGCCATGGGTCTTGCATCACAGGATTGTGTGCTTGATTTTCAAAAGGCAGGAGTTTTATGAGCACAGAACAAATGGATCATGATTTCCTGTAAGTCTCTGCCTTGTGGATGACTGTGTTCAGTGTTGAAGGAGGTGCAGGTCTTGCTGAAGTGTTCCCAGGCAATGAGGATGGAGGGGTGAAGGCACTGACCACGTTTCTGACTTCAGTGTGTGATGCAACCCTTCCCTCCATGGGACACTGCAAGGTTCTGGCCCTCTACATGTCCACCTTTTACACTGATGGCTGTAGGAGTGTGGCTCACATCTCCAGACACAGAGTGCAAATCAAAGTGGTCCAGCTTTTCCAAATCCTTGAGTTTTTTTAAGCTGTCAGGTTGGAGAGAGGGGAGGTGGGAGAGAGCACTCAATGCCATTTGAGTTGTGGTACCTTGCCTTCCAGTGTGGGGGCGTCAGGAGTGTCTGCCCACCCCCTCTCTCCCTTCATGAATGACTTCTATCCATCTCTGCTGATTCTTCCCAAAAGTGCATGAAACCTCCATTCACTTTCATCCTAGCCTGGCAGCAGTCCAGCTTGCTAAAGGTGGGCAGAAGAAGGG